CAGGGGAATGAATGGAACAGAACAGAGTAGTACAGAGAAAGCTGGCTGCTTACTGAAAATCCATTCCCTTTTTTGGAGGGGACGGAGATAACAATGAAATGGTGGAAGGAGAAAGCTATACCCAGATGGGATTATCTAGCAAAGGAGAAAGCTTTACCCATCCTCCTTCAAAAGCCTTCTGTTGAAGGAAAGCTTGTGCGGGCCTTTCCCATTTCCAGTTCTCACTTATATTTGAGAGTGTTTCGAGTGGGCAGTAGCTCAATGAAGAAGCAAATGCAGACAAATTAACACCAAAAATGAGAAATAAGAATACAATATGCGCACGAAGCTCCACCTTTTTCTTTTAAATTTCCCATTTCTCGCTGGAGAAAATAGTTGAAGCCAAGCCAGCCCCGGCCCCTTACTTTTCTTCGTTTTGTTTTTCTTTTTTGGGTTTTCTCATTGGTGCAGTAGATAGAAGTCTGCTGGGTGTGTGGTTGAAAATTAGGTGATGTGTTAGATAAAAATCGGCTCTTTCCCCCTTCCACTTCAAATTGCCACCAGCCCCTAAAAACCAAACAAAAGGAGGAAAACAGAGAGGGGAAAGTGACGGAAGATGGGAAAAGGCTTGGTGGTTTCGCGTTTGGGTTCTGGGGAATTTTATTTTTTTCTTTCCGAGAAATGGCGAGAATCAAAGAGAAAAGGAACAAATCTCTGGGAACCTAAATAATGAGGATTATATGTGTTTATTTATAAATGGGGGAATGATAATGGGGAAGGAGACAGAGACAGGACGTAGACGGAGAGAGACAGGGGAAGGGAAGGGAAGGGAAGTGGGTTTCTTTCTTTTCTTTTAACTGGAAATGCACTAACTGAGAGCAGTCAGTCATCACTACTACTGCTGCTACTGCATCACCTCACTGACACCAATTATACTTTTTTGGACCAAAAATGAAAAGGAAAACAAAGTAATTGAAAACCAGAATTTGTCAGGGATGATATATTCCAGGACGTTTCGTCCAACTCGTCTCAAACGGTTTATCTTTTCCTCTGTTTTTTTCTTTGTTTCACCGGTCCTCTGTCATCTCCGGTAACGTTTTGATTTGCTGTAACTGCATTTTCTCTCTGTAACTGCAGATTTGCGTCCGGCGAGGATTTGTAGTGCTTAGATTGGGCGATAGTCGTGTGAGTGGGTAGTTAGGTTTATTGGCAGTTTATATGCTAGTCATAGAGCAGGGGAAAAAACAAGAAATTTGTGCGGATTGAATTCGAATACACGAGTCTTTGGTCACCCTGCTGGTATGGCTAAATTGTAAGTCTGGTTTATGGTTGATCTTGGTGTATTTAGTTATACACTAGCTTTTTGGCCCGCGCTTCGTAGCGGTAAGAAATTAATTATATACTTTTTAATATTTAATAATCTTATTTGAAATCAATTAATTTACAAAAATCGGGTAAGATATATTCAAAAAATTTACTTAATGTGTGAATCAATTCTCCATAAGTTTGTTCAAGTGATGCATAAAAATTGCTATCACTCCATAAGTTATACATTATTTGTTTGTTATTTACATAATTATTATAAAACATTGTGATGTAAATCTTTCGTAGTGTGTGGTCTACCAATAAAATAAAATCAAGTTATCAAAAGTATTACATTTGATCAAACTGTTATGTAAAAATTAATTAACATTGCAAAATCATTTTGTAATATAAAGTGATGACATGGTGAATGTTTTAGTCAATAGTGAAGGAACTATAACTAATAATAAAAAATTAAGTTATGAAAAGTGTAAGATTTGATTAAGCGGTTATGTAAAAAATAACTTACCTTACATAACTTTCGTGTAATGCAAATGGATGAAATGGTTAACAATCTAGTTAATAATAATATGAAAAACTTACATTCAATTGATACATAATAACAAATAATCCCTTACGTTGTCTTCAATTGATAATTAAGAAGTAATTATCTCATTGTAAGGTTTATATAATGTATTTGTAATGTACGTAACTATTATAGAAAATTGTTATGTAAATTTTTATGTGTGGTCTAATAATAAAATCAAACGGAAAGTATCACATTCGGTTAGAATTTTATGTTAGAAATAGCTAACCTTAGAAAAGTTATACAACACGTTTTTTTTCAATTGATAATTAAAAAATAACCACCCCTATATGATTTACATAATGTATTTGTAATGTACTTAACTCTTATAGAACACTAGTTTTTAGCCCGCGCTTCGCGGCGGTAAGAATTTAATTATATTTAAAAGTTCACCCACTTAGTTAATAATTTAATTGAAATAATAAATTCATAAAATTATTAGAGTAAGATACATCCATATATTTTACTTAATGTCTTAATGATTATGAAAGGAATACACCATATGTTAGTTTAAGTGATATAAAAATAACTATCCCTCCATAACCTTTCCAATGTCTCATGACCAAACTATTATGTAAAAGAATAACTTACCTGAAAAAGCAATTGTGTATTGCAAATTGATGAGATGAATAATTAATTTAGCTAATAATAAATAAATTTTCATTCAAACTTATAGTGCAAATTGATGAGATGAATAATTAATTTAGTTAATAATAAATAAATTTTCATTCAAACTTATAGTACTGAACCGTTATAAAATATCTATGCAATATGATTTGTTTAAGTGATATTTAAGAAATAACTACCCTGCATAAGCTTTATATAATGCATTTATAATTACATAATTTTTATATAATTGCGTTACAGAAATCTATCTTAATGTGTGGTCTAACGATGAAGTCAAGTTAAGAAAGAGATAATGGTGAATTGGGAAGCTTTATAATAATATATTTGTAATGACCCAATAGTTGTAGAATAGTATTCCACAAATTTTTGGTACAATGTGATCTAATGTAAAGAGTTTATAATGTAATTACTTGAATTATTTATAATATATTTGTAATTACGTAACTATTATAGAATAGTGTTAAACCAATCTTTTTTACTGTGAGTTCTAATGATAAAAATCATGTTATAAAATATGAGTATAATTGTGTTACAGAAATCTATCTTAATGTGTGGTCTAATGATGAAGTTAAGTTAAGAAAGAGATAATGGTACCAATGTGATCTAATGTAAAGAGTTTATAATGTAATTACTTGAATATATTTATAATTACGTACCTGTTATAGAATAGTGTTAAACCAATCTTTTTTACTGTGAGGTCTAATGATAAAAATCATGTTATAAATGTTGATGTTATTTGTTGGATTCAAATATAAACGTTTAGGTATTGACATTAAATGTTGTATTTAAATATGAGTATTTATTATTTTATTTGAAGTATTTTATTTTATTTAAATATGAATAGATTGTAGATAAATTTTATTCAAATATGTTTAATGCATGATTAAATTCATTTGATGTTAATAGTTTTTTCGCATTTTTACCTATTCTGTTAAACCGACATGAACGAAAATAAACCGATTATACCACCGGTCGAACCATTTCACTTGCTTAACCTGCGATATAAATCGGTTCGCCAACCTTTCTTTAATCACATTAGAGTTCTAAGGGTGTCTACCTTTCAACTAATTAGAGTTTTATAAATTGGTGGATAAATAAAACGTAGATATGATCGGCCTTGCGTCCAACTCTTAAAATTTTGGGTTCCCTTCTCATATAGAACTATGGGGGAGTAGTATCTTAGTTGGTCTGCCATGAGAGGGTTTTCAGTGGAAGATGTGTTTAATGCATGATTAAATTCATTTGATGTTAATAGTTTTTCGCATTTTTACCTATTCTGTTAAATCGACATGAACGAAAATAAACCGATTATACCACCGGTCGAACCATTTCACTTGCTTAACCTGCGATATAAATCGGTTCGCCAACCTTTCTTTAATCACGTTAGAGTTCTAAGGGTGTCTACCTTTCAACTAATTAGAGTTTTATAAATTGGTGGATAAATAAAACATGTAAAAGTAAGACCTGTCAAATTAAAGCCTTGTTATAGAAAGTAAGGATATTTTTATGCAGAGAATGATACTTTTGGAATAATTAATGGCGAGCACTTCTACTATGCTATATAGTATTGGTGCTTTAATGTACAACTTGAAGTTGTACCATAACATTAAATGTATAAGTTTAGGTTGTACCATAAAGAAATTTGTACAATTATGTTATGGTACAACTTTACAACTTGAAGTTGTACCATCACATAAAGGTACAAATTTAAGTTGTACCATAAAAGAATTTGTACAAAACGTATAGGTACAAGTTCAAATTGTACCATAACGTTAAAGGTACAATTTTAAGTTGTACCATAAAGACAAAATCTTATAGCACCAATACTATATAGTATTGTAAAATTTCTCTGTTAGTTTTTGTATCAAAAGTTGAATATCATAAACTAAGAAGGGCTATAAAACATAGGTCTCAGTGGACCTATCTTTGATATCATGGCTATATCTCAGCTTGATTGTTCTATACATATATTACTCTGTTCATAATAATTTATATGATATGAATATTTAAAATATGTTACATAAGATCCCAATAGATACTAATATAATTTTGCTTTACCGTAAGAATCAAAATTCAATAATACGACAATCTTTTTAGAAAGAAATGGTGAAAATTGTTAACTTAACTTACATTCAGCGTTAATATGAATATGAATATTGAGATATCCGTCCCTTCTTATTATTTATTTTAGTTTTTACTGTAAAAAGCCCAATATATTGGGTTGGCTGACTTACAAATTAGAAGCCCAATTACATCACGGCCCAACATCCTTCTACGGGCCCTATCAGTCATCGACGTGGCGGGAACATATGGACACCGACAAGTCAAAGGCCACCGCAGACGGACAAGACATCCGAAAACCTCTGGCCTTCCCAATGCGAAGAAGAACAACGCAGCTGCCTTTCTCTGACCAGTGACAGCCGAGAAAAAGATAAACAAACACCCAACTTAGCTGCTTCAAATTCGGGCATCTAAAAAGAAATCAAGAGCCCAATCTCCCCTAACCATGGGGCTCTACTCCTTCACCTTGGCCGGCGGAGGCTACATCCTAATCGGCGCATGGGAATCCCTCCGCCCAATCTCCGCCGGTATCCCATCGCCCAAATCCGAAACTTTGAGAACCGCGGATTCAAACCCAGATGCAAGTCTTTCTTGCTCTTCTCCATTGACGTACGCAGCCGTCTGCCTCTTCTCCTTCCTCTTCATTGCCGACTCACTGATCTCCCTCTTCAGTGCCGTTGACTCCAACGACGGAATCGGCTCCGCCCTCCAGTTACAAATCCTCCCGATCGCAGCTCTCTTCTTCCTCTACTCGATTCTGGGTTTAGCAACCTCCATAACCTAGATTCGGTTCCCTTCCAAGCTCCTCAATCTAATCGCCCTCTTCGGCTTCGTCGAGGAATTCCTGCTCTACTACCTTCAAAAGAAGGACAAGACCGGGATTGAGAACAGGTACTTCGACCTCCTCCTCGTTCCCATCGCGATTTGCATCTTTTCAACTCTTCTCGAATTGAAACAATCTGGGTCAGAATCAGAATCGAGTTGCTACCCGAGATTGGGCCGTGGGTTCGGGTTGATTCTGCATGGGATGTGGTTTGTGCAAATGGGGATTTCCTTTTACTCCAATTTGATTGTTCAGGGATGCCATTTGCGAGCCAAGAGTAGAGGGAACTATACCATAGCTTGTAAAGGCCATCCCGAGTACCATAGGGCTAATGGGATTGCTACACTTCAGTTTAACTGCCATCTAGCGTTGATTATGGTCTTGGCTTCTGCTTTGTACTCGAGTATCGTGAAGAAGATGGGTGGTTACTGCGGTGGTGATTCGGAGAGAAGAAACTATAAGCCTCTAGGTGCTACTGCAGAAATGGTGCAGATGGAAAGTGGTGGTGGAACGTTTACTCTGGAGTCTGATGACGATGAAATTAGAGAAGAGGAGAATGGGAACAAGGAGTTGAGAGTAGGAGCTAATGGTTATGGTTCTCATGACTAAAGGTGAATGATATATAATTCTCTTCGTTCCCTTTTTTCCTGTATACCTCACAAGGAGAGATACCGCCACTTTCATTGTCAAAAAGTAAACATACACATATTAGACTATTTTCCAATCCAAATTCAGACCTTATACAGAGCCCTGAAGCCATGAACATCATCCCGGCTCAGCTCCTTCGTCACGCCGTCCCCCACCGCCGGGTACATAATCGCCGTCGGCACCGAGCTGTGCATCAGCCCGAGAATGTGCCCTATCTCATGCAAAGCCACCGTCTCGACGTCGAACGCCTTCTGGACCGAGCCCACGGCCCAAGTCTCCTCCGAATCGAAGTGCAGGAGCCCAGACTTCGGTGGGCTTGAGTGGGCCAGCGACCCGCCCGGCCCATCAAACGAGCCCGTGTCCCCGTGGTACCCGCTGAAGAACCCGATCTTGATATCCGCCAATTCCGCGTGATCATCCTCCGTCGCCACAAACGCGAACCGCCCGCGTGAGTGCGCGCCCCACTTCTTGAACGCACGCGCCACCGGATCCCTCGCCATCTCCGGCGTCCCCGGGAGGAAGCCGTACGTCAGGTTCCGCTTCCCCTCCGGCCACGTCGGGTTCCCGGGGAAGAAATTGTACCGCGCGGTGGTTCGGAAGCGGCTGTGGTGGTGGTGAGTAACTTTCGCCGGCGCCGCCATCCAGTTGGTGCCGTTGAGCACGTCGGGGACGCCGCAGCGCGGTGTTCTCATCATGGCCGCCGTCGGCGCGTCGAGCTGCCCGGTGGGGTCCAGCTTGAAGTTGGATTGGTAGGTCTTGAGGGCGGACTCGAGGAGGACGTCGAAATAGTGGTCGTCGTCGATGTCGTCGACGGAGAGGTAGCCGTAGCGGCGGAGGTAGGTTTTGACGCCGGCGATGGCGGGGTGGCGGTCGCCGATTTTGGGGGCTTCGGTGAAGTGGTCGAGGAAAGAGGTGGCGGTGGAGTGGGCGTTTGATGAGGAGGGGAGGGTTTGAAGGAGGAGGAGGGGAAGAAGGAGAAGAAAGGAGGAAGTTGACGCCATGGAAGGAGATTATTGGGATTGAGCTAGTGAAGGAAGGAAGAAGAGAGGGTGGCGGGAATTTTAATATAAAATTGGTGTGCGTGGGAATTGATTGGAAGGATGGGCTACGGAGGAGGATAGTTTTGGGGATTTGATTTGATTAGGTGGCCGGCCGCCGGCCATTCTCTTCTTTGTCTTGTTGGAAAGTTGCCGGGGCGGAGAATGTATGTTGATGAGCTTTTGTACAATCTCCATACAAGATCCAGTTGTATCGGTTGCAAATTTCAATTTGAGTAGAAAATTCTCTTTATTCCTCTGCTCATACATTCCATATCCATATATGGAGTTCGGTAAAATTTTATGTTATTCTGTAAACAGAATAGAAATCCCATCATTGCTAGCTCAATCTATAGAATTGAATGAAAAACAATTTAATTATGGGATTTTTTCAATAACTGAGAAATAAAAAACGCTTAGGGATGCAAATGGGGGACTGTCTACAATACCTGGATTTAATCGGATACAATTTGAAGGATGGGCAGCTCATTAGTTTACTAGCTAATAGTTTGTGTATAGTGAAAATTTTGGCAAAACGATTATTTAACCTTTAAAAATAGTTTGTGTATGAGTGAAATAGATATTTACGTTGTAACGAGATACTCTTGTAATTAAAGAAATTAAAATTATCCAACCCCAATAATAATTATCTATATATGGTACATAAAATCATTCAAATGATAAAATATCGGATATATTTAACTTTTAGAAGCATAAAATTCCTTGGATCTGCCACGGAAAATCACTATAAAGGGTGATAAGTAACATCAGCCTTTTCTCTCCACTTGTGTACGTATATACGTACCCATTTATTTATTTGAGTGTATGCCAGCCTACGTACGTGTAGCGGCCGGCCTCAACGTATAAATACACTGTTGGATCGTAATTCGTAAGATCGATCATTAATTAACGTAGCTTACCCACCAAAGTAATTAAGCATGGATCAAATCAAACGTTATATAAAGCCCTAATCCCTTGAATATCATCCGCATTCAAACCCTTAACAGCTCCAACACGAATAATGGCGAACATAATCGCCTCCTCAACGTCGCTGTGGTCGAGCCCCAAGAGATGGCCGATCTCATGCAGCGCCACCGTCTCCCAGTCCATCGCCCTTGGGTTCTTGATCCCCCAACTCTCGTCCGCATCGTAGTGAAACCTCCCGTCCTCCGGCGCAAACGCGTGAGCCACCGACCTACCCACTCCATCGAAAGGAAACCCGTCCCCGTGGTCCCTGCTGTAGAACCCCACCCTGATGTCCACGGTGTCGTCTCCGGGCTCCCCACCGACCCTCCGGAACTCGAACTGCGTGTTCTCAGCCCACGTCTGGAAAGCACGCGCCACCGGCGCCACCGCTTCTTCCGGCATTCCCGGGAGAATCTGGTAGGAGAGCTTCGTCTTCGAAGCTCTCCACCTGGGGTTCCCCCGGAAGAACGAGTAGTGAGACACGGCGTGCAGCCGGCCAGTACCGTGACGTCGTCGGGTTTGCATGTAGTTGGTGCCGTTGACGATGTCAGCGACGCCGCAGCGTGGGGTCATCATGGAGGCGACGGTGGCGGAGTCCATGGCGCCGGTGACGTTGAGGTGGTAGTTGGCCTGGTAAGTCTTGAGGGCATTCTCGAGGCGGCCGTCGAAGTAGTGGTTGTTAGAAGGGGAGGTTTGGTTGGTGTAGTCGTCGAGGTATCCGAACTTGTGGAGGTAGGCTTTGAGCTTAGGGATGTCGTTGAGCTTGTCGCCCTTGTGGCAGCCTTTGAGGTGTTGGAGGAAGGCGACTCGAGATGCTGGTGTTGATGATGGTGAGTTGGTTAGGATGCGAGCGTGGGAAAATAGAGGGAGAAGGAGGAGGCAAGCTATTAGGGTTAGGGCGAGTGAGGGTGTTTTGGGTTCCATACTGAACGCTATGGCTGCGTTAGGGTTTTATTCAAAAAAAAAAAAAAAAAGGCTGCGTTAGGGTTTACGTTTAGAAACGGTAATGCGCGTCTTTTTTTCGGTTGATGCTAAACTTTTTGGTGAATGGTGCATTTATAGTCCCTCCATCGATCGAACGGGGAACAGCAAGAAATTGATAACCTTTCTTCCTTCTTCCACATTTGTCTACATACGCCTTGGCTGAAAAGGACGGATAGCTCAGGTTTGGCGTCCTTCACGGGCGCGCGGAACTCGGAAGAAGACTTCGTTGACTTATGGAGGGTGGTGCAAAATGAGGAAAAAATCCCAAATTACACATGTTTTTAAAAAAAATTCTCAAAATACAAACGTTATGAAAATAATTCCTAATCTACGTTAGTTTGGGCCATCACCGCTGTCGACGAAGACAGTGATTGCATCACTGTTGTCGACGAAGACAGTGATTGCATCACCGCTGTCGACGAAGACAGTGATTGCATCACCGCTGTCGACAAAGACAGTGATTGCATCACTGCAGTACACGGCCGCGGTGAAGGCCTGACCTGCGTCGAAACTTTAAACAAACGTAACTTTGTGCTCGGTTATCCGATCGTAGCGAAATTTTTTTTGATTCCGCATAATTTTTCGAGATCTTGCAAGCCGCAAATTACCGTAGGCGGTTTGGTCCCGCCTTCGTCTCGAAAATATGTCGTTTGCTACCCCGAACGAGCCTTTTTTCGATTTCGTCAAACTTTGAACGACCATAACTTTGTGCTCCACAATCCGAAAATCATGAATTTTTTTTTATTTCGCATAACTTTTTAAGGACTACAATTTTTATCATAGACATATTTTCGGAATGTACTTGGATTCCTGAAAAGGAAGGTAAAGTTATTCCCAAAATCCCTTATATCCATAAATAATTCATTTTTTGAAAATTCTCTCCTACTAAATATTGTAGTCCTTAAAAATTTATGCGAAATAAAAAAAAAATTCATGATTTTCGGATTGTGGAGCACAAAGTTATGGTCGTTCAAAGTTTGACGAAATCGAAAAAAGGCTCGTTCGAAGTAGCAAACGACATATTTTCGAGACGAAGGCGGGACCAGACCGCCTGCGGCAATTTGCGGCTTGCAAGATCTCAAAAAATTATGCGGAATCAAAAAAAATTTCGCTACGATCGGATAACCGAGCACAAAATTACGTTTGTTTAAAGTTTCGACGCAGGTCAGGCCTTCACCGCGGCCGTGTACTGCAGTGATGCAATCACTGTCTTCGTCGGCAGCGGTGATGCAATCACTGTCTTCGTCGACAACAGTGATGCAATCACTGTCTTCGTCGACAACAGTGATGCAATCACTGTCTTCGTCGACAGCGGTGATGGCCCAAACTAACGTAGATTGGGAATTATTTTCATAACGTTTGTATTTTGAGAATTTTTTTTAAAAACATGTGTAACTTGGGATTTTTTCCGCAAAATGACGAGATCAACTATAAGAAAATTAGTTGAGGGGTCAAGGATTCAGGCTTGCTATACTTTTCGCTATTATAACTACTTTGAATTTTACTTAAATTCATATCCACAAATGCCTCAAGATGTGTATTATAACGAAATGAAAAATTGGTAATGTAATAAAGTAAAAAACGTACAGATTTACGTGGTTCACTAATATAATAATGTATGTTATAGCTACTTCACAAACAAAAAAATAAGTTTCAGTATACTTCATTACAGTTGAAGCAGATAATCCAACTTAAATTAATACCAACAATTTGAATAGTAAATAAAAATAATAATTTTCTCTTTCTCATCACAATTAACATATTATTACCAATATAATTGCGAGCAAACCAACAATTATACAAACGAAAAGTACTACAATAAATTACCAAGAGAAATACTCATATCTGCGAATTTTCAATATGACAAGAGAAAGAAGAAGATTCCTAGCTAGAAAACGGTCTTTTAGATTTGTTTCATCAAAGAATTTTTTTTATGGATGTTTCATCAAAGAATGGTCGCCCCATATATATGGTCTACTCAACTAGGCGATGCGTAAGTGTATGGCGCATGCATGAGAGTATATAACACGCCCAAACAAAGTTCACATGCAAACGCAAGGACGATAAATTAAGATTCCGCCTTCTTCTCCCGCCGCATGTGGAAAAGAAAATTGTGGCTGCTGGCTAGACCCGGCGACCGAGTAATTAAACTACATAATGTCATTGTCTCTTTGCTAACTACAATACTTCACCAAGTCATTAACTACTATTTCGATTAAGAGGGAACTTTATCGATATAAATTATGGTCCCATTATTTATAATGCAGAAGATGATGAGTTAAGGTCGGTGTATAATAATATGGTACATTATTGTCCGTCAGGCGTCAACAACTCATCATGACATGATGGGGATATGAAAGGCTCTCATCAGTTCAGTTTAAAAATAACTGCTGCTACGTACATGAATTTCCTTCTTATGTATCAGAAAATTATAAAGTGAAATGAATATTATAATTGTTGTTAGGTTTACATGAGACAAGTGTGTATGAAGGATATCCCAAAATCATTAATCTTAGATTGGTGATTATAACAGCTGGTTCAAGTATAGATATTGTATCTGCTCATTCTTTTACTATAATAATTTAAGGGCAAACAAATTATGAATTCATACAATAGAAATCAATAGGCTTAATCCATTCATAGTTTAATATATACTAGGAAGGAAGCCCGCGCTCTGCGGCGGGGAGATTATATTATGAGATTAGAGAGTTGATAGCGGAAAATCGGAGTAAGTGTGCATATGAATAGTTTCTACGTACATCTCGGATGCATAAGTCTGCTGATGTTGAAGTGCAGGTGTTGCTAAATACTGGATAATATAGGTAAGACAACGGTCGAGCACAACGACTTTCTGCGCAAGTGTTGACTTTTCCATTAGTTTATTGTTAAAGCTGGCTGCGGTCGAATGCAGAAAGTATAGTAAACTCCAGAGGAGTCTGAGCCAGATTTCCAGGTTTAGGGAGTTGCACACAAAACGAAAACCAACATCCATTCATGGCCACAATTTTCGGAGGGAAATGGCCATGGTGGTGGGGGTGCTGCAGCAATAGTTCGGTTGCTGTAACTCCAAGCAAAGATTCAGCGGTCTTTCCAAGTGCGACGAAGCACGCCGAGCCAGTAGTGTCTCCGACAGCCAAATGAATTTTGTAGCTGTAAAAATGTATTAACATTTCAGGGTTGAATTGGGCGTGCCCACTTGACTGATGGGGAAAAGGTGGATTTAAAACTAACCACTTTTCGGTAGCTTCAGGCTTTAGTTGGCCATGGTCTTCACAAAAAAAATCACCAGAGCCAGGAAATTCCCTAGCTGTCTTAAAGCAAAAGGCACATCCTAAGTAGAACCATGATCTTGAAGACTCAGTGGAGAGGACTTGCGCCAAACAATAGTACTGGGTAGCCTGTAGGTAAACAAAACTGGTGAGAAAAGTTAGCTAAGCAGGGAAGAAATTTGTTAGTTTACTGGGGAAAGGGACTGGAAAAACAGATCCATCTAGTGGTGAGGCAGAATACATTCTGAAACATGAAAATAATGGCTGGCTACATTAATAGTGCAGATTATGCTTTAACCTGGCATGTAGTAATAAAACACAGTGCTGTTACAGTAAAAGTTATGTCAAAAGAACGCACGTCAACCATTGGATTCCTGGAAAGGCGGATGAGGTCCATAATTGTCTTGGTACTGTCAGTTCGAAACATTTCCTCTGCAAAAGAAGTGGAAAAGTATGGAGGATAATATCGGATCGTATCTGTACCACCAGTAGACCTACAAATTCGAAAGTATATGAGATAAACGGAAAGTAAATTACTAAAAACGGCAGCTTGTAAGAGACTTACGTAGCACGCAAAACAGTTGCCAAATCAGAGGATGGCTCCAAAACAAACCGTGTGGCGGAGGTGCTGGTTAAAAAAATGACGCCTTTGGTAAAAGTAGGAAAGCAGATGTGAGGCGTCGTAGAATGGAATAGCAATAGCATTAACTGTGAGGTAGAAAGATGCACTGTAAACCTGCTGTGGCGTTAGTAACTTGAAGACTGCATACACCAAGTATAACAGAGCCCATGCGGCCAAGGTATGCTAGTTCTTCTCCATCTAGTGATCGAGCAACATCGCCACATATGGTGATGTTAACACGTATATTTCTGCAATAGTAAAGTGCAGGCAAGAGGGAGATGATTGGAATTCAGTTAAATCAACTACAAATGGAAAGGTACACAACCGCATTGCACTGAAGACCTTTCGTTCTGCATGACCAGTTTCCGCCTAATAACAGCACCAGTGGACGTTGCTGAACAGGATAACCCGCTCACAGACACAACTCTGCCAACAACATCTACATGTGAAGATGTTTTAAAAGATCGTCAATTCAGTAGTGCAAACATCAGGTGAAGTATATGTGATGATATTACAGTAATTTCCAGGTGAACCTATGAGCTGGTTTGTTGAGCGAGTCAAGCCGCGCAAGGAACTGAAGTGGAAAAACTCAAATGAATCAGCACAGAAACCCGGTGACAACATGGTCACATCCTCAAATATGGTTCCCTGAGAAAGAACCAAACTAAATCTATGCGAGCAAGGGCGGCACATTGGCTGTGATTTTGCCAGCTGGTATCCAGTAACTAAGTAGACACACCCTAGTTGCAAGTGTGCGCCAAATCGGTGACCTAAATCTGGTGTCGCGATGGCCTGGATCAAGGTTCCCTGTTAAACAGGGAGGAGGCGAAGCAAGAGAAATGACCGAGGAGCACAATTTGAGCTGGCAAGTGGAACAAAAAACGTTAAAGGAAATGCTATAGTACCTTGGAATCGGTCCAAAGACTGCAAATTTGTGAGAGGATGGATGAATTTTCTGTATTGCAATAACCCCAAACATGCAAGAGTCGTATCTTGAGAGCAGTTTCTACCCCTTCAGTTCCATTCAAATCCAGAAGCAGCTTTAGCCG